TTCGCTAACATGGGGAATGAGTCTATGGAGTCGGGGGCCAGGTTATGGTACCACATCATGGCCCCCTTTGAAAGCGTTTCTCCGAACTTTTTCAATAGTACAGATTCAATCTCGTCGCTTTTTATGTCGTTACCTTTTACTGTGCAGATATACGCAGTGATGTGTTCATTGGGGTCGGATGTGCCATTGTACTTAGGGAGTTCCGGCACTCTAAACTTCTTCGGGATAGGTTTCGGCGCCGCTTCTTCGGGGAATGGCCTTTGAATGAATTTCTTTGAATCTAGACCCTTAAGGACCGGAGGGGCACCAGGGATCTGATCGACCCTAGAGTTGTATGTCTCGGCCCTTTTATTGTTGGCTGCGATCACTTTCTCTCCCAATTTGATCCTTTTGGTGAGGTCCTCGAGCAATTTTACGATAGTGGGGTCAGCCACCGACTCGTTGTTGCTTGACCTTTCGAGCACTCGTTCGGCGGGGGGTTCTTGGGTGGCTTTGTAGCTGAGCGATTTCTAGTTGCTTTGCCTGCAACATTTCAAAGATAACGTGAAGACTAACTTCCTGTTCTTCCCGGGCTGGGGTTTTTTGCGCTTCCAGTTGGTCGCTGCGTCGTACGCTCCTGTCGGTGTGAGACATTTTGTCTACTTGCTGAGCGTCCTGCGAATCCGCGTCCACTGGGATTGGTCCGAGAACGCCGTCAGGATTCTGCGGAGGTACTCCAGCGGCCGGGATGGTCACGCCGTTTTCCCCGTGGTCTTCGAGGTCGTTGTTTTCAACCTTGTTTATCGAGCCGGACATTTTGACCTGCAATCAAAGAGTTCTCGGGCAAGAAAAAGAGTGAAAGATATCGTGCGTTTAAGTGACGAAACTAGCAAGAAAATAATAACTATTATTTTTAGCCCCACGGTGGGTGCCAAACTGTTTACCGTGAAAATGGTAACAACAATTAAATGTATAAATGGGATTCTAAAAATACGTGATCTATTCCGAGCTAGTTTGTAAGGGTAATTAGTGCTAAAACGTGGAGTAAAACAGTAAAGCTCGAGTTAGTCAAAAAACGATAATGAACGAGTAAGGGGACGTTCCCGGGCTTAGAGCAAGCCAGTAGATACCTCGGGGGCAGGCCTCGAGCCTATCTCATTCTTATCGAGGGTAGTCGGGAAGGGGGATAACAGATAAAGATACAAGTAAGTAAGGCTTTATATGATCAATTTTGAACTAAATGATGAAGAACCGACGAAGAAACAATAAAATGCTAAGGATGATCTCGAGATATATTTATTAGGCAAACCGAGAGAATAGCTATCAATGGATATGACTTAGAACCAGAGAGGAATTTAGCGAAAGAGAGAGAGAATATTATTGCGTTCTTTGTAAGACCAATAGGAGAGATATGTTACAAGGTGTTGGTGACCCTTATTTTATAGAAAAAAGGGGGCGTCCAAACTTAGTATGAAATAAACAATACAATAAAAGAACGAGATGTGACAGCCTGCTTTTCTTTGTAGGAGAACTGGCGTCGAGCCGTTTGGAGAAGTCTCGTGGACCCCAGACACATCCCTCAGGGGATATCTTCGCCCATCAGGGTCTTAACCGATGCTCGATCTGGGCAAGGCATCAGCTAGATCTCGAGGGAGGCCACCAAACTGAGATATCGTGCCTTCGGGATTTGCTCTTCGAAGCATTATGTCGAGGGAAAATTGGTCTCTCGATTTCCCCGCACACACTTGACTATTGAAATTTTATTGCTATTTTGACGTATTTCTGCTACTTTCTTGATTAAAAATTTGTTCTTTTTAATGAAAGTTTGTGTTATAACAAAATACAGTAAACTATTCTAAATTAGTTGTAGTTAGCTAAGATAACTCAAAAGAGCCTCTGTCTTATTATAAAAACTGACAATTATAAACAATATTCATATAGGTGAAGTATTACATGAAGTAACACGAAATTCACTGAGTTGTTTCCATGATAAATCATTACCCCTTGCTTCGATTAAAGGCGAGACAGGGGAAAGCAAAAACAAGAAGCTATGAGCGGTACTTTTAGAAAAGATAAAATCGTTGAAAATTGAACCAAACAGACATTGTAATTCAATTTAATTTAGTGTATAAATTGTTCTCTGTCTAAACACACAGAAAAATTATTTTATAAGCTAAATATGGAGAAACTCTACTTTGTTAGACTAATGAATAAAATTGTGCGACTCCAAGGGTCATATGATACTCAAGGAATCTACAAAAACCATTCTATCTAAAAGTGGAGCAGTCGACATCAATTTTTACATAGTGTAGACAACATGCAGGTGACGTAATCAAAGGAAAAAAGAAAAAGATAAGCAAGCAACTAAAAATCTTACCCTTTTTAAACTAAGAAGCAGAGAACTCCAAGAAACTCAGTATAAGTATGAAGCAGAGAACTTGAAGAAACACAATCCTCAGTGTTTATAGTAAGGATTGGAGATAACAGATAGATGAAGTTGGGATTTTTGAACAGTTAAAGAGAACAGAGAAGAAAGTCACAAAGGAAAACAGAGCAAGCGTTGATAAGATGACGATGATCCTACAGGGCGCGGTAAAATTTGCTAAGCACACACGCGTCAGAGCGAGAATAAAAACATGTATATTATTTTGTACGCTAGAGGCCTTAGGGTTTTTTCAAATTTTTCAGCCACTGCTATGCTAAGGAATAGGGGAAAAACATGAATAAAGAGGAGTTTTATAGTTTTTTTGTAAAATCACATTGACCGGAAGTTGTTGTCGATTCCCCTTTAAGAAGAGAACTCCAAGAAACTCAGTATAAGTATTAAGCAGAGAACTTGAAGAAACATAATCCTCAGTGTTTATAGTAAGGATTGGAGATAACAGATAGATGAAGTTGTGATTTTTTAATAGCTGAAGAGAACAGAGAAGAAAGTCACAAAGGAAAATAGAGCAAGCGTTGATAAGACGACGATGATCCTACAGAGAAGAGCACGGGCGCGGTAAAATTTACTAAGCACACACGCGTCAGAGCGAGAATAAAAGCGTGTATCTTATTTTGTACGCCGGAGGCCTTAGGGTTTTTTCTAATTTTTCAGCCATTCTTATGCTAAGGAATAGGGGCAAAACTGGAATAAAGAGAAGTTCTATATTTTTTTTTGTAAAATCACATTGACCGGAAGCTGCTGTCGATTCCCCTTTAAGAAGAGAACTCCAAGAAACTCAGTATAAGTATGAAACAGAGAACTTCAAGAAACACAATCCTCAGTGTTTATAGTAAGAGTTGGAGATAACAGATAGATGAAGTTGGGATTTTTTAACAGCTGAAGAGAACAGAAAAGAAAGTCACAAAGGAAAACAGAGCAAGCGTTGATAAGATGACGATGATCCTACAGAGAACAGCACGGGCGCGGTAAAATTTGCTAAGCACACATGCGTTAGAGCGAGAATAAAAGCGTGTATCTTATTTTGTACGCTGGAGGCCTTAGGGTTTTTCTAATTTTTCAGCCATTGCTATGTTAAGGAATAGGAGCAAAACAGGAATAAAGAAGAGTTTTATAGTTTTTTTGTAAAATCACATTGACCGGAAGCTGCTGTCGATTCCCCTTTCTATAGAGTAGTAAAGTTAAGTTAAAGTATATGCATTACTATCATGCTATAAACTATATAAGCCTAACTTTGTAGATTAATGCAGTACTACTCATATGATTAGGAAAAGTTTAATCGTATTGTGTTGGGCTAGGGCTCAGCATGGGCCTACAACGAATGGAAGAGGTAAAAATAGCGTGTGGTAGCCACTAAATAAGGTGGTGTTTATTTTTTATCCACCAGTTCTAATGCTAAGCAAAAATAGCCACTACTCTATTAAAATTATTTTGAAAAGATATTTTTACCCTTTCTCCCATTTCTTTTCTTCCCAAATCCTCGCTTCTCTTTGTACAGAAGTGGCTGACTATGTGTGCTTCTCTCTCAATCTCTTCTGTGCATTTTTTCTCCCAGTAACCCTAGCTCCTAATTTCTCTTCTCTCAAACACCAATTTTACTACAAATTCAGTTAAGCATTCACTCAAACATATAATCTGCATGCCAGTTTTGTCTTCTCCATTGTAAACACAGAATTAGTTTCTCAAAACAAAAGTTATTTTCTATTTCCAAAAACCAAAATACTGAAACAAGTATTGAATTGTGAATGAAACATTTGGACCAGTTCACAATAAAAGTAAGACAATTAATTTGGAAGGAGGAGTAAATTTACTTATAGAAAAATACATTCCATATTAAATCGTCTTCACAAAGGAGAACATATTTAAGTAGAAATTAAAAGAAACTCGATTAAGATATGGCAACATAAATAGGAATTTGTTCAATTTCCTTTCCATGAGAGAGAATGAATCTTAGAAGAAACTTACAACTTCGATTTCACTGGAGAAGAGTACGCATACAAGTTTGATGGCGGAGGGGGAGAAGTGGCGTCCTGAACTTAGAGTTCCAAGTTCAAAAGTTAAGGACATATAGTCCTGGAGTCTTAACAAGCTCAAAAGTTAAGGACAATAGGTCCTGAACTTAGGCTAAGAAGCCCAAAAGTTAAGGACAATAGGTCCTGAACTTAGACTAACAAACTCAAAAGTTAACGACACTTAGTCCTGAACCCACAGTTACAAGTTTAAAAGTTAAGGACATGTAGTCATGAAGTTAAGTACCATGTAATCCTGAAGTCCGGAACTTAAACTTTCAAGTTCAAAAGTTAAGGACATGTAGTCGTGAAGTTAAGTTCAAAAGTTAAGGACATGAGCAGAAGGGTATTTTTCGTTCGGGCAGTTAAAGTTTATTAAAGCAGTGGCTAAAGATTAAAGATATTTTAAACAGTGACTTAAAAATAAATACACATGTTATTAGTGGCTAATCGTGCACTTCCACGCAGTTGCGGAAGCAGGGAAGGGCTCGTCATGTATGTTTGGGTGCTAAAGGGTATTCTGGTCATTTCATATTTATTCCTAAATTCTGCTGAAAGTAACTAGTTCGAAAGTTTCACTCTGTGTCTCTATTCGTCTTCTTTCGTTCTCTATCTGCGTTGTGCTTCATCTTCTGATTTCTTCTAAGAAAATTGGGGATTCTTCCAGGTTTTTTGGGGTTCCTTTGGCTTCTCTTTATTCGTTGTTGAATACGAAAATTGGGGGATTTCATTGTTTGTTCTTCAATAAGAAAATTTGGGGTTTTGCTAGGTTTTTCTCTCGCTGACATAAACACAAGATTGAAAGGTTAGTTTTACTGCTCTATCTTTCTTGATTATATGGGTGACTGTGATTGTTTTATGTCAGGGTTCTTGTTGGTTTGTTGTTCGAAACTTTGTTGTAGTTTTATGTTAATTTTGTGAACTTCAAAGTATCTTGAAAAGAAATTGGGCTTTATGCCAAATATCTGACGATTCTCCATCTTATTTGTGTTTGAAGGTTTTATCGTTTTGACCAAGAGTTATAAATTGGGATTTTAGAATTCTGCAACCTTTGATTTTCTTGGAATATCAAATTTGTGTTTGGTTCTGTTTAGTGTTTGAGTTATTACAATCAAGGTAGCTCACTTCTGTTTCTTGTTTCTTTTCTGTGGGTTGCAAGTAGTAAGATGGAATGATAGGAATATTGGCCCCTTGAGTGAAAAACTTTTGAATTTTTCCTGGTAAATTGATTGCTTCTACAAAATGGTTTGTGTAATTCAATGAATAAAGTCTTTTGGGTGTGAGCTTAGGTGGAAGTTCTCCTGTTGAAGTAAATTTAATTGGAGGGCTGGAAGTTTTAAGTAGTTGCAAGGATTAAAAGAAACTGAAAAAATGCCGAACCAATTACTAATGAACTTTCAAGTGAAAGCTTATGTAATAAACAACTATTCCTATCCCTTGAGGTTGATCTCCTCAAGAAGTTATATGTATATTTTGTGAACTGGAAGTTATATTCCATCTGCTGCTTATATCGATGATAATCTTAGTCATCATCTGTTCAAGTTATAGCGGTCTTTGTCAAAGAAATGGAAATGAAAAAAGAAAATGGAAAAACCAAATGGAAGTGGAAAAGTTGTGAGGCTCATTCAGTAATGCGTCGTGGCAACTTCCTGTTACTTGGCTTGGAAATTTTCTGTCAACAAAAGAATTAATTTGAGAATTCCGTAAGTTGGTAGTAATGGTTTAGTTAGCTTACCCAGAGGCGAATTGGTGGGTTCATTTTGATTCTATTAAATGTATAGATTACATTTTAAATATTACATCGTGAACAACTTAGTTTTGTTGTTATCTTGAGAACTTAAAAAAATTATCTTGGATATTGAATTATGGTTGTCATTGTAAGGTTAAGGTGGTTGTCAATCTATTTTCGGCACCTCTTCCTTTTCTTTGAATGGAGTTGTTTTTTATTTTATTAGTAGAAACAATATAGTTCTTGACTTCTCTCTGAAAGATGTGTATTCTACAAAAAGGATCTTGCGTCAGTGATAATGTTTGTATATCAATGACGTATGAAATAGTGTACTAAAAAATCCTGGCTTCTCAAGTATCAGCTGTCCCAGATTCAAGAGTGTTGATGACTACCTTATTTTTCCGCTGTAGTCTATGTAATATCGCTCTTAAATACAGAATTCCTAACGTCATATTTGTTTTTATGTTTAAACGCTCAGATTTCCTCATTTCTTGGTTGTCTATTCAATTTTTTTGGTTGGATCTCATTGGTGTCTTTTTTTAGTTTCAGGTGTTATCACTACTGAATTCTTTGTTTTTCTCATCATCTTGTTTACCTAAAATAAGAAATACATACTTTGAACTGTACTTTTCTCTGTTGTTTGTATAACATTTTATATATACAAGTTGTTGTTAGTGCAGATTTGATGTTAAACTTCTATAAATTGCTCGAATTGCAGATGTCGACCAATAAGAAGCATTTACCGTCACCTTGCTGTCCGCAGAAAAAAAAAGCAACAGTACTCAGCAGAAATAGTCTCTAAAATTAACTGTAGGAGATGTGATCTGTACAGGCAATTATCAGTTGATAAAAGAGAGTTGCTTTTACCGCAACGATGATAAAAAAAGCTTGAATTAATAAAGGGTCAAAACGCACTGCTTGAATATACCAAACAAACTGCTGGGTTTGAGTTATCTACACAAAAAACTCTGACGATAGCTGACCCACCATGTGTTACTGGGACAGGTTAGAAACCAAAAAAGATTTATTCCAGAAAAAGGGACATTTACACACACACTTCTTGTAGACACAAATATATGCATGTATATATGTTTTCTTCTTCGTGACTGTACTTAAATGCAATTTGCTCTTGCTATTTGGATTCGCATATTAGCCAGTATATCTTCGGTTACGGAGGCAGTAGCTGATTGTGACAAAGGAAAAAATATTACTGACCACTTCTCCATTTCCGAACATGGTAAGTGAGTGGAAACATGTTGTTTCAGTTTGACTGTACTCCTTTTTAATATATTAATTAGAATTGTTTGTATGTTAGGTTCGACCTCTGGTGTACCCTGTGAAGTGTGAACAGCATCATGCAAATACATCTACTGTCACAAATAAAGTTTTGCCTCCATTTAACCTTATAACACCGTTTAATCTTATAACACCATTTACTGCTACTCTCTTATCAACACTAATGGGATATATTGTTGCAACTAATATACACAGGTTATAGATAAAAAATAATAGGTTGGAACTGGAACATTAGAGAACTACCAAGTGATGCAACCATTTTAAAAACTGTATCGAACTGTAATATTGTGGAGCAAAAAGGTTTGAACTAAGGTTTGACTGCAGGGTAATAGAGGGAATAATGAACCGATGGTCAATAGTAGTATCCACCTAGGGAAGGAGATTGTAAAGGCTCTCTGTACTATGGTCACGTGGGTACATCGAACAATGGGGAGGTTTTTAAAAATGAGGCACGTGTGCTGCCTCATTTTGCTGCTATATTAGACTTAATCATTTTCTTTTTAACCGAAACATTTCTTGTAGCGCAAAGTGATAACAGTAGCCAATATGGAGAGAAACTGTCCTTGTTTATCTTTATGTCTGGTTTCCCAAAGTTATTCAAAGAAATATTTATAATAGGAATTCAGAGTACAAAATATGTCCTGTATCTTACTTAGATGTTTAACTTGCAAGTTGGATAACGTACGGCTTACTTAAAATAGAATTTCACTTTTTGCAGGTGTAAATTTTAGTGACAGAAGTGTAACACTGGTTCCTAACTTGTAAGTTCTGAACACACTTTTCTGACTTATTATCTTCTTATCCCCGAAAGCATAAGTTGCGCCTACGACACTGTGCTATTAGTTGTTATATTCCAAGGCTTGCTCAAATTGCTGTAAATTCCATTATGTACTTTGTGCAAATTTTTTGATCTCTGGAATTAATAAGTTGAAAAACATTTAGTACATTATACTTTTCCACATGTTCTCCAGATGAGTGCAAATACGTGTAGCATTTCAATTTACAAGGTTAAGTCTGTTGGCACTATGAAATGAATTACACAATGTAAATGATGAGTTGAGCATGTTGGAATTTGTTCTATTGTACAAAGGTCACCACCAATACTCTGTTCAACTATAGAGATATCAAAAAAAGAAAAACCAAATAAGTTTTTGTCCCAGAATAGTAAAAGGAAAAAACTGAGTTTGTTATGTTATTTCAAATTTTTAGGTAAGACCGGCTTTTGTGTAGCTGCAGTAACTTACCTAGCCTTAATCTATATATAATAGAACAGTGAGTTATGATTGTAGTAATAATGAACACTAAGTAATAAATTACGCAGAAAAGTATGTGAAAACTACATTCTCCCCGAAATGAGCAGATCTTCTTGTGCAAATATTATAATCAGATAGTGATGGCTGCAGATGTTTAGTTCAGAGACTCATTCTCCTTCATATTTATTTGTTGTCTTTTCACTCAATTAAATTCTGTGCCTACAATGCAGAGTGATGCTTGGGAGGAAATGGTAGGGGCTGGCAGTTGTTATTTAAGAGAGTAAGGATGCAGGGAGTGCCTTTGGGGGGCAACTTTACCTTTACAACTGAAGGCTTAGCAGTAGAAGGAGATTGTTAGTGGATAAATGAGGATTTCTTTCATGTACTTTTGACTGTATACTAGCAGCTTACTTATATTTTCATCCCACTTAATGCCCTTGCTCTAAGGTTCTTATATCCTGAAATAAGAAAGTGATTGGCTTACCAAGGTAAGCTTATTGGATAATAATTGAGTAACAAACCTCTAATATGGTCCCTAAATCATATAATTCTCATAATCATTATTAATGGTCTAAACGGTTAAGAATCTCAAATCAAGGAGCTGAATTTGAATAGTTTCTGATAATATCCAAAAGCTAAAATTTTCTTTTTCCATAATTGATTGCCTCGCGTACTGGGTGGGGGGCAAACCTAAAGCTTTTGCATTTGGGCTCATTTCTCAAGCGCACGAATCTAATCTCTTTACTGGCTCAATAAAAGACACATCTATCTTAATACAAATAGCCTTTATTTTTCCTAGCATATATATNTTCTGTAATACTATTTGCGTCTTTCAAATGTACCCCAGAGCATGAAATGCCTTCATTTTTTGAGATTAAATTGATTGATCGGAGAAAAAAACGTTTTTTGTAGCCAACAACTATTAGAGCAAAATTAAAGTAAAACGAGATGCAGCGCCCATTTCTTTAGGATTACTGACCGTACATAGGTATGCTTATGGATCAAACGATGATTGTTTAATTGACCAGCTTTTAGGACAGAATAAAAAACGTGAAGTAAATAATTCAAAAGAAAGAAAGAAGAAATAATTGTTACATTATGGTAAGCAATTTTTTTTTTTTTTTTTTTTTTTTTTTTTTTTTTTACATAGAGCATCAAACTGCAGTGGTGCAGTTCATATGCTCTGAGGTTGGAAAGCTTAGTTGAATATTACAATTGATGTTCAGCTCTTTAATTCTAGAGTTGGTATAAGGGGGGTGCTCATGGTTGTTGTGAATACAGCTCAATGCATGAGCAGTAGATTTCTGTCCCTTTTTCCATGACCTTGACTTTGTCATTCATGGTCTGTAAATTGTCACAACAGACCATGGATGGATATTTAGTTAACCCATCCAGGTAGTTCTCACAAGCATCAAACAGGTATGTGTTTGGTTCTGCCTTGGAAATAGTTGAATTTGCCAATGGTGTGCTTGGCAAATTTATGGTTGAATTTGGTTTCAACTTCATAAACAACATAATTATTATGATAATAACTACTGTTGCTATCATTGTTTTTTTGTCTACCATTTTTTTTGGATGCTTTGAAATACAAAGAGACTTTTAATTTTGGTTGACAAAGAGATATTTTGGTTTCCGAGACCTTTGGGTTTATATAGAATTAAAGTGTCATAGATTAATTACTCTTTCTCTAACAGATTTTGAATGAAACAAAGAGTAATTATCCTAGAAAATCTTGAAAATTAAGACACTTAACAAATTCATGTGGCATTGCCACAAATTACCAATACACATTATATATGCACACACGTAAATCACAAATTTGATGCCATAATGCTTGATTTGTTGTTCATGTCCATAATTCCCAAATGATTGAAGTTTGAATGTATATGTGTGTGTGTTTACATGGCAGTAGTGGTAGTAATTAGTTGGCAAATAAACCAAAATTATTCGATCTTGATTCTAAAAGATTCGCGTTGAAGACTTCATGCCCTGAAATAGCTTTCTTTACAAATTGGCAAACAAACTCACATGCTTTAAATTCTAGGGAGTTTTAGAGCTTTACTCATCAAAATCAAATTAATTACTCTTGCTTATTCATTTACTTTGGTACCCATCAAACTAATTATTCTTCCTATCCATTGTAGTCTTTATGGGTAATTGACTCTTTTTTCTCCTTTTCTTTTTTCTTCTTTTTCGTTGTTTTTGCTCTTTCTCCCTTTCTGTTATGTTTTTTCAATCATATCATTTTTTATTTTCTTTTTTTACCATAATATGATTCGATACTCAATTTTGGCTCCTTTATTTTTATTTTATTTCTTTCCTTTTATTCATTTTTCTTTATTTCTTTGCTTCTTTTCGAATTTCATTTAACTCTTTTTCCCCTAGATAATCTAATCACATTCACTTTTTTTTTTGCTCCCTATCTTTATTCTTCTTTATTTTATACAACAATAAAATATAAGTAATATACTAAACATTCATTCACTGTTTTTTTCTTCATATAACTGATATAATATACCTTATGTCTTTTATCTCATTTTTTCTCTCTAAATCAATTATTAGAACTAATTTTTCATGTTTTCGCTTCTATTTTTTTCATTGCATTTTTTCTTTTTTCTCCTTTGCTAATTTTATTTTTATTATTTTTAAATTATTTTTTCTATATTTCCTATTTTTCCTCATAATCTAATTCTAATATCTTTTTGGCCCTTTATGTTTGTTATTTTTTCTCTCCTTTTTTTTACTATATCAATTAAAAAAACAATCGATATAGTCCATATTTTTATTTTATTTAATTTTTCTTTTACTAGTTATCAGAAAATAACTCACTCTAGCATATGTATATGAAAAATAATATATTAGTAGCAGTTAAAGTATATTGTTGTATTATACTATGATACTCACGTGGTATATTATCATATAATAACAGGGTATCATAGAGGTCTAGTTCATTCCTTTGAGAAATACACTCAGTTCTCTATGATACCTACATATTATATACCACATATTGACATGATATAATGTGGCATTCCTTCCAAAATAACACTCAGTCTCGCTGATACCAACCTGGTATATAGCATATGATAACAGGGACTCGTAGAGGACTGGTTCATTCCTTAAAAAAAAAAAGCACTCGTCTGTACTTTATGATACACACATGGTATATATTATATACTGACAAGATAGACGTCTGGTTAATTCCTTCAAAAATGAGGCCAACCCTCTATGATGCCAAACTGATATACAAGTATACCATTTTGGTATATAATTCAAATTCATCTACTTCGCTACCTCAACATCATTTCAACCCAAACTTCATAACTCTAATGCAAAATCTCCACCAATTTAGCTCAAAATTTAGCCACAACCTTCATTCAACATTTCAAACTAAGTATTTTTGTTTAAGAATTTTTTTTAAAAAAAGGCATGAAAACTCTATTAAAACATCGAAAAAGATTCCAATGAAAAAGATATCAACCTGATATATATATATATTACTAACATGGTATCATAGAGGACTGGTTCATTCCTTTAACAAAAAAAAAAAAAAATACACGTCAGTCCTCTATGATACCCATATGGTATATATCATTACTGACATGATATAGGTATGGTTCATTCCTTCAAAAAAGAGCTTAGTCCTCAATGATACCAAACTGGTATACATGTATATTATTTTGGTATATAGTATAAATTATCTTTATCACAAGTTGAACTCAATTTCAACCCAAATTTTACAACTCTAGTACAAAAAATCCACCGAATTGGTTCAAATTTAGCCACAACCTCCGTTCAACATTTAAAAGTAAATATTTTTGTTTAATGAAAATTTGAAAAAGGCATGAAAACTCCATTAAATTTTTTAAGAGATTCCAATTAAAAAATTCAATAAATTTAAAAAGGACCAAATTATAACGGTATGCCATTGCACTATATTATATATTATAAGAGTATACTGTTGGAATAAATTGTATAAATTAAAATTATATACTAAAGTGATATACATGTATACCATTTTGTTATACAGTACAAATTCATCTTCTTCGCTAGTTCAACTTAATTTCAACCCCAATTTCACAACTCGACCGCAAAATCTCTGCCAAATTGGCTCAGGCTTTTGCTACCGCTTCTAATTAATATTTCAAATAATATTTCTCCAAAAATCTCCAGTATGAACTTTCTAAAGATACTATAAATAACTTTTTAAAATATCTGTTTTGAATCTAACAACTAATCTTAATGTTGAAATTTCAATTCAAAAGCTTCAAGCTCAACAATGACGGGTCTTTAAAAATTCATTCCCAAGCACCTCAAATCAGCTTCAAATAAAATCAAATTTCAGTATGATTAATATCCTTTCTTTTACTATAGCATAACATCTTACTTAAAAACCGCATTTAGGCTACAATTATAAATGATTAAGCTTAGACCATTCCATTTGAGAATCCACAAAAAGGAAATATTTTTATCATATATGTTTGAAAAATAGTGATTTCTCCATATTCTCTATAAATAAATATACTAAATAATGAGTTAAGTACATAAGTGAGAAATAGGGGAAGATGCTCACAGCAACGATGACGCTGTGATTAGCGAATGCAACGACTTGGCAGAAGATAAGTGAAGGGACGGGTAATTATTTTTAACCGTATGGGTAGCCGTTGTAATTAGTTTTAGGGTAGATAATTACTTTAGGTTTTATAGATATTTTGTGTAGATTCCCGTAAATTCTATACGTGATTACTTGAAGTAACTTAGTTCGTAAATCAGTCATTCGCTTAGCTGATTAATTGCTATTTGAAAACCTTCAAATTTAATAATGGGCCAAACAAAAATAATTTCAACAGGCCCAATGTCAATAAAGCTCATAAGTTGATCCATTTTCTTTTAAATAAAGGTAGGCACAATGCCAATTAATAAGCTTGAGGTCATATTTTCTTAGGGGGTATTATCACTTTAGCCTGCGCCGGAAACTATTTACATCTAATAGCTGAAAAAGTATATAAATAATTTTTTTATATGACATATAAAATGTGTGTGTAACACAAAAAAAATACGAATTTTATATATTTGTTTGGCTATTAATTTTACAGCGACTATACTGTGTCATTTTTCCATTTTCCTTTTAACAAGTTGCTGGCCCATTCTTTTCATTTAGCTTGTTAGCCCACTTCCTCTTTAATATCAAAGCTGGCCCAAAATCATAATACCTAGTCCAATACATATGTAGCAACCAATAAATATGATCAAATTTAATTTGTAGCCATCCGGAAAAAATAATGACAATCGGTAGCCACGAAATAAATCGTATAATTAATAGCCCAAAACCAATTACAAGGACTAGCCCAAAACCACCGCCACTCTTCCCCCTTTAAAATTTCAAACTTTTCAACTCGGTAGCCACTGGATTCGGTGGCTATGATTCAATGAACCAAAGCAAAAATTTCAGGAATCATTGTCTTTATGGTTGTGAAATTGAAACGCACAAATCAAACCTCTGATCAGGTG